ATGGGAATGCCAGGACGGTCGGTCCCTGCTCAGTCGGTCACGCTCTGGCGCGTCCGGAGCAGTCCGGGCCCTCGGTCTTCGGGCACGGCTTCGGCCGCGAGGCTCGCAGGATGCGCTGCGCGTGAGCCTTCCCCGGAGCCTAATCGCGCTCAAGCGCGAAGCGTCCAGGCGTGCCCATAGGCCTACCAAACAATGTTCCAAGTTCCTCTTGCGGTTCCCATGACATGTTCTTAGAACACTTCTGGTTGAGACTGTCTTGTGTCAACACATCGGGATTCTGTTCTGAGAACACCGCTTCTGTTCTCAGAACGGTTTTGGGTCCCGAGACCATCTCGTGGCAGGCCTATGGGAATGCCAGGACGGTCGGTCCCTGCTCAGTCGGTCACGCTCTGGCGCGTCCGGAGCAGTCCGGGCCCCGGCGTCGGTCCCGCTCGGGCCGAGGCTCGGGCACGGCTTCGGCCGCGAGGCGCTCCTGCAAGAGGCGGGGCCGCGCGGCGGTGCCCGGGGTGGCCGAGCGCCCCCGTGCGCGTGAGCCTTCCCCGGAGCCTTCTTGGCAAGGCTCGAGGATCGCTCAAGTAATCGCGAAGCGTCCAGGCGTGCCCATAGGCCTACCAAACAATGTTCCAAGTTCCTCTTGCGGTTCCCATGACATGTTCTTAGAACACTTCTGGTTGAGACTGTCTTGTGTCAACACATCGGGATTCTGTTCTGAGAACACCGCTTCTGTTCTCAGAACGGTTTTGGGTCCCGAGACCATCTCGTGGCAGGCCTATGGGAATGCCAGGACGGTCGGTCCCTGCTCAGTCGGTCACGCTCTGGCGCGTCCGGAGCAGTCCGGGCCCCGGCGTCGGTCCCGCTCGGGCCGAGGCTCGGGCACGGCTTCGGCCGCGAGGCGCTCCTGCAAGAGGCGGGGCCGCGCGGCAGTGCCCGGGGTGGCCGAGCGCCCCCGTGCGCGTGAGCCTTCCCCGGAGCCTTCTTGGCAAGGCTCGGAGGTCGCGCGGAGGGGCCCCCCTCCGAGCTCGCATGCAGGCTGGCCTGATGGTGCTCCAACCCACTTTGGCCTCGATCGCCAGCAGGAAGTCCGAGCACCGGCAAAAATAGACCGAAGCTCGAGGGCTTTCTCACGTCGCTCGGGCCCCGGGAGGCGCTCGGTCCGACGCCGTCTCGACGCTGTTCTGACGCTCTTTCGGCACTCTCCCGGGTGCTCGAAACTAGCTCTGGGATGTGGCCCTCAAGTGATAGGCCTGTTTTCCACCACCACCACTATAAGTTGGAGGGGAGAAGGAGGAGGAGGAGGAGCAGGAGGAGGAGGAGGAGGAGGAGGACCCCCTCCTCCTCCAACTTATGGTGGTGGTGGTGGAAAACAAGCCCATCATCAAGTACGATGGGGGCAACACGAGGCTGGCCTCGAAGCAGACGGGCGCCCCAACGAGGGGGGGCCTCCGGAGGTCGACCCGACAGCTCGTCTCCACAGCGCCGCGGGGGCGGGGGGCCGGCGGAGAATCCGTCGGTGGCGGTCTCGATCAAGCGGGCCTCTCGGTCAGGGGAGAAAAAAAACACAGACACAATTAATCGTCGATTCCCAAGAAAAGATGGGAACATATGGGAAGGGGGGGGGAAGACAAAAACCCAGAAGATATAGGAACATGTGGGGGATATTTTTATTTGTGTGTATTTATTTGTGTGTCCCAGGGCCCCTTTACTCGGATCCGGGCGGGGCCGAACCCGCCGGGATCCAGGCGGGGCCAGGACCGCGAACACGAATCGTTCAGGGCGGGGCCAGGACCAGGGCCTGCAGTGCTCTGGAACGGCCGCAGCGCCCGATGCATCCTCCAGAGCAGCCCGACCTTGGAGATCCCCAAGTTGTCCGGGTCTGATTCTGTCCTTGCTTTGGCTTCGTCATGTAGATGGGGTGAGAGTAGATGATGTCGGAGGATCGCGCCGCATCGCCGATGCATCGCCGATACGGGTCGATGTGGAGCCCGATGTTATCCACGCCGACGTCGTAGATGCATCCATGGTGCTGCGCGATCCTCCGACCTCATCTACTCTGACACCGTCTGGGAGGCCTCTGGATCAATGCCCCGACCGCTGCGCGCAGAGTGCCTTGGGTGACGCCGTCATCTGTGCGCAAGGACGGCCCTCTTCAAGTGGTACCCCTTCCCCCGTCCCTCTCCGGATGTCTTGAGCTGCGTTTGTTTATCCATAAGGGCTTTACCTCCTGCTGCTGGCCCATTTATTCTACACTTGCAAAGATACACAATTGGGAGGAGTAGGGAAGAGTGGAGGGAGGATGAGTAGGGAGAAGAGGAGGATGAGGAGAAAGACGAGGAGGGGGGAGGAACGAGGAGGAGGAGGAGGAGGAGGAGGAGGAGGAGGAGGAGGAGAGGAGGAGGAGGAAGAGGATAGTAATGAGGCGAAATGGATGATGACAGGGGGGGCGAGCACGTGTATTTATAATGTATGCAGATCGGAGCTCTGCTGGGATGTCTCGGATCCG